TTTTAATCAACCACAGTAATTTGAAGTATTTTATCAAATTTTGTGGCATTAGAGCAGCCAAATAACATACATATGAAAAATTATGAAACATTATTAAAAATCCGTTTTTTTTTAAATGAAGAAAACTTTCTGCTGTGAATGGTAGACTGAAGCAATGGTTAAACGGTTTTATATCGAGGAGCACTTCAAAGCTATGAATCAAATTTCAGATTTTAGTCAGACATTTTATTAGCAACTATCACATTAGATTAAACATTCGAAATAAAAAGTTTTATTCCAGATCAAGTAAATGGAGACCATTTATAAAGTACAACCTACTATTTCAAAAATAGTTAATACAGAAAATTGAAATTACAAACCAAAGATATGATTCTAACAATGATGCTTAGAAATAAAATGTATGGTACGGACAATGATTAAATGAGTAGTGCAGAAAATATAGCTAATTAATTTTCTCTAAAATGAAGTTATATTAATTATATCGTTTAAACTAAACCTTGGTCCTCATTAACACATCGTGCAGTGGATTCATCGTACATGCATGGTTTCCAGTAGAACACCAAAGTTAAGCATTACTGGCTGAGATCAGTAAGTAGGATGGGTGATCACTTTGATCAACCTGAGTAGGAACCGAGGGTGCACGGTATCGGTCCTCATTAGACTGTTTTATCGTAAAGTGCTCGACTTTGCGCTCAAGTCGTCGGGTTACCAAAGCAGGAGAACCCATCCCCTCTGCAGAAGATCAAAATTGCTATGGCATGTCCTCGGATCATCCTCAGGGATGTTTCCCAGACCGTCACAAATAGCCCATTGTGCAGCTCTAGTGCAACGTAAATAAACTACCTACCTTAACACTCCTATCGATTAAAAAACGGTAACCACAATAGTTAACTAAGAACTATTTTTTCCCGCTTTTAATTTAAACTAATTTAAAGTAATTGAAAAACCGCAATGCCAAGAACCCTATTTTATCAAAAAAATAAGAGTTATTATCGATGTATAATTTATCTTAAATTACTTAATTGGAAGAAGTTTTAGGCTGTGAAAACATGAAACTATGGATATTTGTAATTTTTGAATCCTAGTAAAAGTTTCTTCAATTACCTAGTTTTATAAATAGAATTTTTTTTTTTTACGTAAAGGGCATTATTGACCTCAACTGTTAGAGTACTAACCTAGTTAGTACACTCATTGAATTATTATCCTGCAGAAAACTGAAGAGATCGCGGTCCCCCTGATTAAATCAAAAACTATTTCCTCCAATAATAAAGATAACCAAAGCATTTTTTAAAGTGGAACCAACTATTTTAAATATATAAGGTACTGACAATTCAACTTTTACAGATTATACTGTTAAAGTACTTAACGAATTAAATGTGCATTATTAAAAATTTAACAAAACATTTATTTAAAAACAAAGAAAATAAATTACATATCCTAAATCAAAACTGACTACTTACCTTAACACAAGGATTGAAGAGGCTATTTCTCGCTCTTAATTCTAACTAATGAAAAAAAAATATTCAAAAACGTTATCTAATTTTAAACGAGGAAATTTTTATTTTAATAAATTCCTAATAGTCTTATTTATTAGTTTATTCATAATTATAGATAAAAGTTTCAAGCTGTCACAATATGCAACTTCATTTTTTTTTTCATTTTTCAACTTTTTTTTTTTTTTTGAAATCCTAGTAAATATGCATTAATTTTTTTATTGTTTTGTTATTTCATTCTTTTTTTATTTTGGTGACTATCAAAATTTCATTTCTTAATTTAATTTGTTGTTGTTGGCGTATGCCTGTTCAGGCAGAGGGGTGCGATTGTTTTTGTTTTCCAGTGACGCCATCCATGGCCAAGAATTCGACTTCTGCCACATCCATACATCTCACCCGTTTATAGGGTATAACCTATTCATACATCCGTTCATTCATCCACAGATCGTAATTTTGACCTAAATAAGAGAACGATCAATCCCCAATTTAGTATCCCCAGAGATTTTGATTTGTTATGGGAACATGGAGGACTTCGCGACTCGACAGATTTAACGTGTATCATTCACCATCTTACCTTATTCCAAAGGCAAAAACAAAAAAGAAAATGGTGAAAATTGACTGCTTTATAAATAATAACTTTGAATTATAAGATAATGACAGGAATCATTGCGATTAGAAGCAGAAAAGAAAATCTACATAGCTGCAATGAACATTATTTATTCAAAAAAAAATTCTAATACATGTCATAACTTGTGCTCAGTGTAAAAGCGATGCAAGAACGAAAAATAAGAGAGATTACTACTCGACTTATGAAACGTTTTTATACATTTCTTTACAATAAAACACATTTTCCAAGTTAATAAAATCAGTATTATTTTAAAGCTAATAAACAAATACTGAAAAAAATTTATAAAATTATGGTAATTGTCAGTAAGTTTACCTTATTTAACGGCATTTTTATTGTTCTATTTTGAATAAAGTGATATTTTTTTTTATAACTCTTGAATAGTCATACATTTTTAAACTATTAATATGCTATGTACAAAAAGTAAAAGAACTGTAAAATATTCTGGCAACAGTCCGCCGAAGGCTATGGCTGAGTCAAAGAGGTCAATAGGTCCCAAATTTCGTGACCAACGCCATGTTTGTGGCAGTGTGATCAGTATTACGCTCAGACCTCCTTTACTTCCCAGAGAAGTTGGTAGTTACATTATATACATTAACATTAAACCTATTTTTGTAATTTCTGCTATTTTTTGTTACTTTCTTCTTAAATAGCAAATGATCTTACTAACATGATGTTCCCACCACTCAACTTATGCAATTAAAATAATGAAAAGTGAATTACTGTCATAATCTGAAATATTAAGAATTAAAATTTTTGATTTACTGCTAAATAACCTCTTTATAATCAGCAAAAAAATTCTGCTCTAACCGTAATGTTCGCATCATAACAAATATGAAAAACGTTACACAGTATTAAATAAAAATAAATGCTTAAAATGTATCTCTCAAATAGAAATGTTATTTTTCATTTACCTTTCTTTTTCAAAATTAATATGATCATGAAATAATAACTACAACCAACATGTTTGGACAGGTAACTCATTAATATACTGTTGACTGAGTAATAATGTAACAAAAGCATACATACTATTGCGAAAATAATATTTATTTCTATTTAAAATTTTAATGGTGATTATAAATTTCTATTTTTTATATTAATATTAAATTGATAAACAAAAGTTGAATATATATTATAACCGTCATTGAACCACCGACCCAATTTTTGGGTTTATGACTACCAATGTTCAACTCCATAGCCCTGTCATTTTGATCCCAATCCAGAAGACGAGGAAACTCCTGAATCAAGTATTGGGAGAAATATGCCTTCGCGGAGGACTTTTTGATAGAACTAACCCGCATTTGCGTTACATTGAGGGGAAGAGTAAGTGAACCTCCCACGGTTAGCCTGATGGCAGGGACCCATAATCCTTCTACCAATGAGGTTATTTTACGTCAGCACTGTGGTCGTTTCACCTCATTGGTAGGCAAACCCTGAGCCACCACAACTCTATCAAAGCTCTTTAAAAAAGTTCAATAATATCACAAAATACCCAATATCCCCGAAAAAATTAGTAATATTGACTAATTTTTTTGTGTTTCCTAATAAAAGTGTTAGAGGATAAAATTTTGTAAAAATGCTTAATGACCCGGTGAAATTTGCTGAATATTGAAAATCTGTGGTAGGTCACAGCGAGCTGCATCCTTGCTGAAAATAAAATTCATACTTATTACTTTTTCTATTGACATTGTTTTGCTTCTAACATGGCATTCTTAGTTTTTCATTCAGAAACGCTATTAAGTGATCAAAAATGTATTCTACTTTCATAGCTGTAAACTCTACTAGATTTTGCAGCAGACTACTGGATTTTGTCAGTTTTTACTGGTTTAATAAAAAAAATTTCCTGGTTTTTATACATTTCAGAAAATTCTTTAAAAATCCCTATTAAAATTGAATTTTTGTTCAGGTTATTGTTTGTATTTAGATCCGTGTCACTCTGATATACAATGAACAGAGTCTCATTTATGCCTATGATTATGTCTATTATTATGAATTAAATGCCTATTTAAAATTATGAATAAACATAACATTTCAAGTTCATTTAATGTGCAATCATAACTGGAAAATAATGCAGTTTTTCTATTTTGACAACTATAGAAATTCCTAAAATTTCCTATGCACCAAATATTTAGTATATTTTGCAATAATTATCCTGAAATTTATATTATTTTGTAAAATCTACTGGATTTTTTCCTAGATTTCCGTTGGCATCTTTTTTAGACTGTTATTGGGTTAGTTCTACGTCATTATTTAATTTACGTTTTTTTTTTCTCTTAGCTAGATTGCCTTCAAAAATTGCTGTACAGTACGAATTAGTCAACAGAAGATATTTTTATCCCTTATTGGTTGGTACAATATTTATAACTCAATTGTTTATACTTAAGTGTGAAATAAATTATCATTATTTATCTGCACTGTCATCCATTTGTGTTTCTTTGTTTGAAAGTTGAAGATTAGAGACCAGAAACAAGACAATTAGTAATAATTTCGAATACAGAATTTTAGATTCCTTTCCTTCCTTGTATGTTTTTTATGCTTAAAGGGTGAATTATATATCGTACTGCTCTGTATTGTTACCCAGTGGGAAAAAAATATATCCATTGGCAAATTAAAAGTATTGATATTGGCGGGAAAATTTAAAATTATTATTCACGTGAGATTACATTTCTGCTCTTAAAACTGTTTACAAACTTTAATTTTGCAGCAAAATTTCCATAAAATGTTAAAACAGAAACAAAAGGTCGTACTTGTGAAAATAATCATTTTTGTATTATATGTAATAAAGTTTATTCCCGTAAATTTCAATTAAATGATCACTACCGTACACATACTGGGGGAAAGCCTTATTCTTGTAGCGTATGCAATAAAAGTTATTCTTATAGCGTATGCAATAAAAGTTATTCTTATAAATGGTTATTAGATAAACACAGCTTAGTTCATACTGGTGAGAAACCCTTCCCTTGTGGTGCATCTACTAAAAGTTTCAAAACAAAATTTGAATTAACACATCATATGACTGTTCATCTGACTAACAGTGACAAACCATATTCTTGTAATGTGATAAAAGATTTTTGTCAACAACTCAACTAATGCAACATGCAAAGACTCATTCCCGTGAGAAACCGTTTTCTTGCAGTGAATGTTATGTGGAAATAAGTTAGATTTTTTCTGGTTATTAGCCTTCAAACTTTACGTAATTAACACATTATTTCCGTTCATAAACATAGTTAAAAAAAAACGTTCTTGGTTATTATATTAAAAAAAATACCATTTTAAACTTATAAAAATGTTTTGCTAGTTGGTGAAAATGACACGATAAATGCTTTATTTTAAAGAGTTCAGTTTTAACTTTAACTATTAAGAAAAATGAAGGCATATATCGACACTTTTTTTATCTACATATTCTTTTATAAAGATAAGTTAAGTTAAATTTAGAATCCCTGATTTTAAAATATGTCGTTAATAGCAATTTGTTCATACTTAATCATTAGGAAACATCAACCTTAAACGCTAATTACTGAAACAAAATAATAATTTAGGTTCATAATGACATTAGAAATTTTACAATTGTTTATAGACATTTAAATTTACGATGATATAATTTATAGATATTTAAATTGAAGAGAATATAATTTTTAAAAAAAATCATAAATATTTAGAATAACTACATTAAAAAATATGTTATGAAATTAGGAGAATTTCAACTATATACTATATATTTTATTTATACTTTTTACTTACATTTTAATTTTCTTTGACTTTATCTATTTTTTAATTCTTTTCACCTGCCTTTCTTTATGAAGTAACGAGGCGGTTTCTATTTAGATAATGAATTTTTATAAAAGTTCTTTACGACAGAATAAACGTATTGCTGTTTTATATTAACTGTGTCATTTCGGAATCCATTCTTTACATAGTTGTTCATTTACTTTAGGGAACACGCGAAAAATTATACTTTTTCCTTTTGTTTTTATATCAGAATTTTTGCAAGTTGCAATCGCGCAAACTGGCATTTCGATAATAGTTTTAAATTCTTGTAAATTCACTGCAAAAACTGAGGAAAGTCATTATAGAAAATAACAAATGTCTTAGAATATCTCGCAAAAAGAAATGATCCAATATTAGTTGGAGCTAGTAAGGCCAAACGCTCCGTTCTTAAAGTAAAAGTGCGAGCTTTGCGCCAAAGTGACGTCACTAGAGTGACGGAAAAATGTGACATCAATCATGGGCTACCGTTTTATTGCTCATCGAAACAATAAGACATAGCGAATGTCAAATATGATTAATTTTTTTGAAATTTCTGAAAACTGTCATTGCCAGATTCAGTATACCAGATGTACATAGATTTTATAGTTTGAGAGAATAAAATTGCACTTACAGTTTTATTAGTTGTCAAAACCAGTTGTATGTTTGTTTAACAGAAAGAAAGGCATTAATTCATATAGATCAGAAGAATTAACATAGAAAGCGGTCCAACAACTAAGCAACACAAACTGTCTTATTTAAGTTCCATAAACATGTTTGATGTTGCTTAAATACATAGTTTAAACTGCTTTCAAACTAATTCTATAACGGTAGCAGCAAAACATTTTTAGAACTTCTAAGCGCAGCAAGTGTTCCTAAAACATACTTTCCACTGCTTTACAAGTATTCCTTGATGTAGAAATTAACATTGAATGTGGCTTAAATTTAAAGTTCACTTTTTTTTAGTTTAGGAGTTCAAATTGTGCTACTAGTGTTGATCCATCTTGTTTAAATTTTCCAACTTTTTACATTTTTTTCAGATTAAAATTTAGCAATTTCAAAACACAATTTTAGTTAAAATTCGATAATTTACTGAGAAATAATCGACTTTTAATTATACTATTTGAGCTGCATCTAACAAAATAATGAGTAATAACATTTGCATATTACAATGAATGTTGATATTACTTCCATGTATTTAATGCGTATTAAAGATATTCAAAGCCGTACACTAAACTCTTGTACTCTACGTGAAGCTTAAACTCAATAAAAATTTTATTTTTAGTTTGTAAAAGCAAATTTGTCGATATTATGCGAAAGGAAAACACTTTTAAATGTGCAAATTAAAGAATTAGAAAGGTAAAAATTGTGAATCAAAAGTTTCTAATTCCTTCAAATTTCGCAGATTTCTTTAAGTAAATTAGAAATGTGAATTTTCCCTCCAAAAAATTAGACTTTATTTTGATTACTAAATTGTAATTTTTGCATGGACACAAAATCACAGGAATTTAATTTTGAAGAAATTTTTATCAAAAGTAATTACAAAACGATAGCTCAATGACTTATTGCAATATGAATTTTGAAAGAAAAATTCTTTCAATTTGAGGATAAAACTCAACTCAAACGTATGTTTTCCTGAACATTAAGGTATCTACAATTTCAGAAATTAATCTCTGAAACAGATTCAACAAAATAAAAACTGCAGATTCGTAGTGAATAATCATTTTAAGATTTTCTGCGTGATGTTTTATGCTTTGTCACATTATGAACTGTTCAATACGCTCAAAATTTATGTATCAAATTTAAGCCTTTGATAGTTCAAATTAGTATACAATGTTGTGGTTAAGGAATCTATATTTTGGTTCGACATAGAACCAACTTTTCTGAAAAGTTATCAATTAAAAGAATGATAAATTAAAATTTCACGTGTATTAAATGAAGTTACATGTAACACTAGTTATTAACTTTAATTTTATAATCTTTGGTAAAATTTTGATCGTCTTAAAAGTTAGATGAAAGGTAAATGAGCAAAAGTGAATTTAGCATCAACTAAATTTATGAACTACCATATATACTTTCCAGATTTCCTTTGTAATCCTAAAATTTGATGCTAAACAAGGGCTAAGAAGATCCATTGTGCAGTTGGTATTAGGATTAGCAATTTTATTTTTGTGCGGTGTACATAGCAACTAGTGTTTCAAATAGGTTTGTTCTTAAATTTAAAATAAAGAGTAAAAGTAAAATAGTAAATACTATTTGAAACGGCCCCCCACGGAAGTAAGATTTCTGAATGTTTTAAGAAAAACAATTAAATACACATTAATACATACAAGACTAATTTATTAGTTCCTCATTTTAAATGTACATCAAAACTAAGAAAAATTTGTCAAATTTTAACATAGAAATAAACCGCTCACAAATTCCTGCATGCATTCAGTACAAGTTCTAATATACAAAACTACCAATGCTTAAAAAATTTCTATTGCCAAACAGAGTTCAAACAAAATTTCACATTTGTCAATACTAATTTAGTTATACATGCAACTGTGATGAAACTTATCACTACTACATATAAATGATCATTTAAGAGAAACTTTACTACAGTTCACAAGAACTAAAATTTAAAGTTCGTTCAAATACTAGAATTCGGGGAACAAAAAAAAATTCTATTTAAATGAATTTCTTTTCGCACTTTTTCTAATTAAACATACTAGATTAGTAAGAATAAATTGCAAGCTTTCTATGCTCACTATAACAAAATTATTTTTATTAAGAGACTAAATTTATTAATTCAATGAAATTATGATTATATTTCGATTGTTTTCCATCTAAAATTTAAAATAAACTATCACTTAATTTATTAATTTCAGTTACTAATTTCATTTCATAAAATTTTCGAGGTTTTAATTATCAATGTTAAACTTTGCAGCCTCGTAATTTTGAATCATACCCAAAAGACAAAAGTTTCTCAAACTCTGAAAAAGTCTTGGATGGTAACTTTGGAAAACTAACCGAACTTTTGTTAAGTCTTAACGTCACATTTAGCAAGGATTCATCATTTTTAAAAAAACTAGAGTATGAAATGGATAATTGAAACAAAATAAAGTACTGAAAGAAAAAGACATCGTACTGGAAGCAATTATTAATTCCATATGCTATTATAAGCAATTTCCTAAACATTTAATGAAATTATAAAATAAACTTATACAAATTATACAGACAGTGATTTACTTTCTATTGAATTTTTGGTTCAACACAACATTTATAGGTCGCACATGAAGAATAAATTCACAACAAAAGAGAACAAACAAGATGTTGAAAATACAAATTAAACATGGACTGAAAGTTATAATTTGAGTTGGAAACTTATTTACTTTGGATTATGCAACTTAATTCTTTATTTCTATTGAATATCCACATTTTTGTTCTTTTATCTTTCTCTATAGCAGGAAAGAACATTAATAGAAATTTATAAATTTCAAACTGTTAAAAAAAAGGTAAATTTGAAAAATTACAATTACACTGAATCCGTGAGATCAAATTCATGTTTTCAGTATTTTAAAGAAAATCTGTAAAAACATTACTAATACCCTATAATCTGTTACACATTCAATATGTAAAGTGCCTCAGTTGAAGAATTAAAACATATGTAAAATCAATGATCTGAATCTGATAAATTTACCTCATATTTTGTTTTTAAAAATTCCTTTCTTATTTAAAAAGGTAAATTACAGGATCCTCATTTAAAGTAAATATAAAAGGATCGTTCAAGATTTTTTTTTTAAATGTTAGATTTAGAATATTTATGTGTTTATAAATTCAGGATTCAATGAAAAAAAACATTAAAGCAATATAAGTTGAACTCAGAAATACTATTGTGAAACAAAATGGTGGCTGAAATATGGCGAGCAAAAGTAAAAAAATAATACAGAACGTTTGAATAATTAACATAGCAGTGAAAATATAATAGTTTTCGTAATTTTATATTATAAATGAAAAGCAAATTATATTTCCGTAGTAATGTTACAAAATAACACGAATTAGAAAATAACGCAAAAACCTGAAGGAAAAAAAACATAACTTTTGTTTTTCGGTATATTTAGTCCACCTTTGCAATACGGGCAAAATGGGTCATGTTTTCTCGAAAGAAGAAACATCAAAGAAGGCAACAAAAAAAAAAGTTTAGCTAATTATCTGGCGGAACTAAGTTTCGAAAGTCAATCAAACATTGTAAAATGTCAAATGATAAGATATAAACTATAAGTTTGTCAAGAGTATTAACTTATCCAACAAATTGAAAAATTGTATTATAATTTAACACTAACTAATTACTCTGATAAAAATGT